TACTGTAACCTTGAGCAGCTGACTGACTTGCTATGATGACAAACCCTGATGGGAAGCTAAGTAGGACCTGTTTGAAAACCAGACAAATCCATCAGCTCTGCTTCATTTATGTAAGCTTCGGCGCTGAATCAAAAGGTGTTTTGTAGATACGTACCCTCTTTATAAAAGAAAGTAAAAAATATCTAAGCAGAATTTTTTTTAAAATGGCTACTGATACTCAGATGTAAGTATGCTAAGATTTGTAAAAACTGTTCAAATAAATCCTATGTTTGTTGTGGTTTTAGTCTTTATAAGTACGCTTTCAGTTAGCAGCATGCATTTTCCTTGATCTAATTGCAGCTGAGCAGGCACAAAGTGAAATTCAGTGAAGTGACACATGCATAATCTGTGTGTCAGCTGGTACAGGATGTTGTGTTTGATATTTACTTGGTGTACTACTCTCACATTTCAAAATTCAGTCAACAATAAACACTAACTGCTCTCATAGGCAGCATGTCAAGCAGTAGAAGCTCAGTGTTTATGTACCCTTTGGTCAGGAACATGAAGCTGTGCGAGTAGGTTTCTGACTTGGAGGTTACTGCTGTGCTTGTCATGTGGAAGAATTAAAAATAACTCCTTGTAATGCCAATCTGGTTTAGGATTAAAGATGAAAGTAATCATGTCTAATAAAACATACTTGAAAGAGAAAAGCAGGCTCTGTACTTTTGCAGCATTTCAGATCTAGGTAATGCAATGATGTTGTATTTTTCCATAAAATCATACCTGTTAATATTTTTAAACCTGAATTGACTATGTTGGGCTTGCAAAACCACAGTGTACAATTTTGCATTTTGAATAAGTTAACATTTTTGCTATAACTTCTTGTCTTTTTTTTTTTTCTTCTGAAATGTAATCAATAGAATATATAAAATCGGTACTTTAGCTTGAAAATGGGAGGTATCTTGTGACGTATACCTTCAGATGTTTAAAAGCAGGATTAAGCTTGGCTCAGCTTCTGGAAGTCTTTCAGGCTAAAATAGGCTTTGTTTACTCACTGCATATATAAGAAGATATATATTGCTTCAATAATAGTTGAAAAAATCTCCTGGGTTTTATAAGTAAAGATAAACTTTTAACATTTCTGGACCTTATACTTTTAATTCTTATGTGATTGATCTATGCAGAAAGGCTTAATTAACTTCTATGTGCATAAAGTATATTCTCTGAACTCAGGTTTGCTGCTGGTATGTATTGTAAAGTCTTGTGTACATCTTAGTTGTCTGCTGTTTGTGAATATGTGTTTCTTTGCCATAAACCATTCAAAAATTTACCTTCAGTTATTTTTCTTCTGCAGTTAATGTTTGTCCAAGTACTCCTACGGTGCAAGATATTATTCTAAATCATTACTCCAGTCAGTTGGACTAAGACAACTGTTAAAATATCTGTATAGAAATACTATTCCTGAGCTAGTTTTAATTTTACGCTTGGAACAGTTGCTTTTTAACAGTTGTTTGCAGTAGATGGTTGGATCTTTCTGCTCCAAAAGATCAAGATTAAATAATGTGGTCTGATATAATTTAACACAGTTCCTTCATATTAGAGAGCAGATCTGTGGTGATTGGACCTTCTGTCAGTACTTACTGCTTTTCATGCTGTTTGATTGTGAGGATCGAGATAGATTGCGTACCTCCAGATAATCCAGATGTGGCAGATATTTTGGTTATTGCAGTGTTGAGGACATATTTTTTTTTTATTCACTGTGTTACCAGAAGGAGTTTTGAAGTATTAATAGCACTGTAGAAAAAAAAAAAAACCGTTTGAAAGAAAAAGAGGTGCTAATCTTGATGTTCTTAGTGATGAATGCATTATGAATAGATTTCTTTAGTTTTAGTTTTTTATTCTATTGCTTATTTCCAATTATATTTTCCCTCAATTGTTACAACTTCCAGGACAGTACATAGAGATACATTTTTTTTCTGCGTCAGATACCACTGTTAGCTCTGGCTGAAAGGCATTATTCTGTGATTCCCGTTGCAGCTGAGGGTGGTACAGATACTGAGGTACCTCTGCTAGTTTATTTTTGCCTAGTATTCACAGTTAATTAAAAGGAACAAAAAAAGTACCAACCACAGAATCACAGAATCACAGAATGTTAGAGATTGGAAGGGACCTCGAAAGATCATCTAGTCCAATCCCCCTGCCGGAGCAGGACACCTAGATCAGATCACACAAGAACGCATCCAGGCGGGCTTTGAATGTCTCCAGAGAAGGAGACTCCACAACCTCTCTGGGCAGCCTGTTCCAGTGCTCTGTCACCCTCACCGTGAAGAAGTTTTTCCTCATACTCAAGCGGAACCTCCTATGTTCCAGCTTGAACCCATTGCCCCTTGTCCTATCACTAGATGTCACAGAGAAGAGCCTGGCTCCATCCTCCTGACACTCACCCTTCACGTATTTATAAACATTAATTAGGTCACCCCTCAGTCTCCTCTTTTCCAGGCTAAAGAGACCCAGCTCCCTCAGCCTTTCCTCATAAGGGAGATGCTCCATTCCCTTCATCATCTTTGTGGCTCTGCGCTGGACTCTCTCCAGCAGTTAGTTCCCTGTCCCTCTTGAACTGAGGGGCCCAGAACTGGACACAATATTCCAGATGCGGTCTCACCAGGGCAGAGTAGAGGGGGAGGAGAACCTCTCTTGACCTACTGACCACCCCCCTTCTGATACACCCCAGGACCAATGGTGATCTTTTTGTCTCCGGTAAATTCTTGAGATCTGTCAGGCTTGAACTTTGGTCTGTCTTTACCACTGGTTTCTCTAAGGACAGGGAGGGCAAATTGAAGAGAATGGCTGAGTAGATAATATGTCAAAATTTGAATAGGATGAGATGGTTTTTCACTGTTTCTGAACTAGTTTCTATATAAATAAAATAGAAATTAAGATATACTGGTATACTGTTTTGTTTTTCAATGGATATTTTGAAAAGGAGTCTGTGTGAGGTAGGCTTTGTTTGCCTTATTTTCATAAGTCTTTAGGCATGCAGATAAGAAAACTATTATGCAGCTTACAGTATTGGAGTAATACAAATTATTTTATGAATGCAGTGTAGTAGTAATGATGATAGACCCATAAGGTCACTTGAGATCTTTACAGAAACAGTACTAGGGGATTTAAAATTATTTAAAAGGAAATAAACAAGAACTTATACACTTTTGATATAAAAATGATTGTTTTCAGTATGTATACTAAAAAATATGTATTGTGACAGCTTTCATATTACTGCATATAATTACTGATTTTTTTTTTTTCCTTCAAAGTCAAAACAAGCATATAGGTCAGATTTGTAGGTCAGTCGATGTAATTTATTCAGAAGCTATTTTTGAGTTTGCTAAGCTAAAACAGAAAACCACAGTATAACTTCTAGTGCCATTGCATTAGTCACAAGCTGACTTAGAGAAGTAATTAAAGCTGGTGCTCAGAAGTAGTCTTGTATCCATGATTATATGAAGCAGGCATGCTGGGTCTCTAATGTCATGTTTTCTCAACCTGCTTATAGCTTAATTATCTTTGTCTTGGCAAAGGATGCAGCGATCCTGCAATGCATAGTCATTTTAATGTTCCCCTCCCCCTTCTGAACTTTAAAAAAGGTTTTGTCCTTCCTGTAGAAGCTAAATCTGGTATTATATAAGCAATTATTATAATTGTAACATCTGCCTTGACCTTACAGAAAGTATAATCAATATTAATGCAGGTGTTGAGAAAGGAGCTTGTTGAGGAAGCTAAATTTTTGCTTGATGGCCTACCTTCCAAAGGTGAGGACTGGAAATAGGTACATTTCAGGATCCATATGGAAAACAAAAAAGGACACTTGTTTAAATAAATACATAATTCTGTTCTTCCTTGTATGCATTTCTTTTTGCTAATTGCTGAATTATTGCTTTGTGCTAAGAAGTCCATTTGGGCAGTATCATAATAATTTAATTTACCACTTAACAGAAGCATAAGTTTGAAATGTGTGTCAGCAGTAGCCCATGTTTTACCCAAGAGTTTCTAAGTCAGTAGTATCACTGCAGTTGCAGGACAAGAGATCATATTTTACTGTGCTCTGACTTCATCCATCTTGGGATGAAGGCAATGACGGTGTCAGTTTGTGATTCTTGCACAGGACCTGCGAGAACCAAGTTGATTTCTTTCATCCTTGTGAAAGAAGGAGCTTGTCCAAGTGGTCTCAGCAGCCTTCTAGCACAGAAGGGCATGGGGCAGGACTAGCAGTCAGTACTCACCCTGGAAAAGTGTAGGCAGGAACAGGAATGTGGGACAGGTGGTCAGGAGAATGACATTCCTTCGGGGGGAAGGGAAGAAAAGCTGAGGTGGTGCCAGAGGTGCAGGAACTTTTGATACAGAGCATAGGCAGGGCATGGGAAAGTGGAAACAGTGTGCTGGGCGTGAATGCTAGCACTGGGTAGTCCAACACACTGATCTTAAAGGCAGAGCACAGCACTTGAGTAAAATGCCCCAGTGAATCATCTGATAGTTTATTTCAGAACTGGACTGTAAAATCTTGCAAATGTGGTCTGGCTTAGGTCAGTATTTTAAATTCAGTAACTTTGTGTTTTAGGTTCAGAATCCTTTTGGCAGGGTTTTGCCCAGAGTTTTTGTTAAATAATTTGTTGATTTCATTCTTGCAATGTTTGCTAAGAAATAGAACATGCTTTTAAAGTTATAGATGTATAAACCTGTGTGTTTCCCAGTTAAATTTTTATTGGCCTGTAAAACTTCATGATTTTCCTGACTTTCTTTATGGATTTTTTTTTAATTATTATTTTGTTTTTAGTGTTGTTCTGATGTTTGCCTCTTTGTGGCACAGGAGGCAGACAAGGGTGAGATGGGAGGGAAGAGAAAGAGGTATTATTTTAATAAATACAGGATGGCTAGTTTAATTTAGCCAGTTTCCAGACTTGCATATGGGTATGATCTATTCTTCTGTCTGTGAAATTAAAACACTTATTCTTTGTTTAGGAAATCTGAAAGGAGACCCCTGCTTATGAAGAGATGACGTGTAATGGCCCAGATAACTCAGAAGCTTGTGCTGCTCCAGACACTGACCATGACCAGGAATGGGCACAGGAACACTACCGACTAGGAACTTTTGTTGAATTTCCATTTGGCTGTCCTGTTTCAGCATCAGCACTAGCACAAGCTGGCTTTGTTTATACTGGAGAAGGTGACAAAGTGAAGTGCTTCAGTTGCCGTACAACTGTTGAAGGATGGGTGCCTGGGGATTCTGCAGTTGAGACACACAAAAAGCTTTCCCCAAATTGCAAATTTATTACTGAATCTACTTTTCTGGAAAATAATGTACATCCTCTTGCCCAGAACTACCAGCATAGAACTGAAAACGGTTCCAGCAATTCAGCCCTCCCGTGTACTCTGGATGACACATCTGATCTGGAGGCAGATTACCTTTTAAGAACTAGGCAGGTTGTGGATATGTCAGATAATTTGTTTCCTAAAAACCCTGCTATGTGCAGTGAAGAGACAAGATTAAACTCTTTTCACAACTGGCCCCTCAATGGCCAGTTGACACCAACGGAATTAGCTAATGCTGGATTCTATTATACAGGTGCTGGTGATCAAGTGGCATGTTTTTGCTGTGGTGGGAAATTGAAAAACTGGGAACCCAGTGACAGAGCTTGGTCAGAACACAAAAGGCATTTTCCGAAATGCCTTTTTGTCTTGGGCCGGGATGTTGGAAATGTGCAAAGTGAATCTATTCCAGCTGAGCTTGGGAGGAGTGCTCTGAACAATGCACAGCATCCAAGGAATCCATCTATGGCAAATTACGGGAGACGTTTACAAACATTTTTAACTTGGATATATCCTGTTGACAAGGAGCAACTTGCTGAAGCTGGGTTCTATAGCACAGGTAAGCCAGACTTTAAAATGGGTAATATATAAAATTTCATTGTAAATCATGAGTGTCTTGTTATGAAAAAATAAGTTTTTTAAAATTCTAATATGGAATGATATACCAGAATTTCTTTACTCTGTAAACTACTTTTCATAGTTCTTGTGTAAAATGATATTAGCAAAGTATAAACTTGGTCATAAATTAATTTTTAGCAGTAAAATATTAGTGTGTTTTCCTTGCCTGCTAAAACCCTCATAATACATCTTTCACAGTGACAATTACTGAAGCTAATATTTTCTAAAAAATTAAGCTCTGTCCTCCATATATCTACCTTAGGTCTAAGGATTGGGTTTGTGGCCCATACAGGAGCCTATGACCAAGACAATCCAGGTTGTGTGCCATTTTATTTAGTTAACACATTTTTGCATTATCATTCGGACACCTGAAACTAGCAAATACCATTAGTAGCCACTGTAAAAGCTTTATGCAGACAGTGACTGTAGTGGAAGAGCTTTTACTCTTGGACATGTAGTGTATGACTTGGATAAGACTCCAACATCTTTATGCACTGGTTTCCCAATTAGATTGAATGGTGCAGCGCCGTTCAAGCTCTTTGAAATTCTTCACTGAGAGATGCTGTACAAGTGCAAAGTGTTGCTCTTATTAGGTCACAAAGAAAAGGGGATTATCTGGGATAATTTCTTGTTCTTAATTGGCTTCTCTCTTAGTAGCTCTTGGAAGAACTTTTAAATCTGATTCCATTTGTTTTGCTTGTGGCCCTAAATAAACCCTTTGATATATTCTTGTATGGGTGATACATGGGCAATATTTATACCCAGTAGAACTGAGTTTATTGTTTTTTTTCTTGTATTCCTGAAAGTACCTAGCTTCCCACAGCTGAGTGAGATCTGTGTTGTGGAGGTGCAGTAAACGGGCACCAGTTTATCACACCCGATGGCTGTTCAAGTGACTTCTGTGAAAACTCTAGTTTCCTGTGGCCTGAGAATGATTTAGGTCTGTAGGAAAAATCTATCCATGCCTCCTTTCATGTCAATGAACACAATATCTAAGCAGTTTCTGGCACAGTCTTTGATTATAGTAGGCATAGTGCTAGAACAAAGAGAATGCAATTCCTCCTAACATCTCCTCAGTTGGTTATGCTGCTGCTGTATAGGGCCCATGAATCTTAATGGTGAAATGGAGGACCAAAAAGGCACGTAAACATCCTTAATTCTTTGTGGTAGACTACTTCATGACTTGTTTACCAGTGCATTGAGCTATTTGATAATAGATTATTTTTAGCTTTTGCTTTTTATCTGTATACTTACTTGCTAAAATAAAATTCAGGAATATTCCACGTGACTCTTGCTTTGTATTTTTTAAACTCAACTCTCTCCTGAACATTTGTTTCACATCGTATGTATTATGTCCTCCTTGAAAATGGAGTTCTTTTTAGTTACAGTTGCTAATCAATAAAATAAATACTTTTCCTTACGGAAACTGGAAAATGAGGAGGTGATTGGTGACAGCCAAGATGGCTTCATTAAGATCAAATTGTGCCTGATAAATTTGGTGGCCTTCTACGATGGCTTTACAGCATTGGTGTATAAGGGAGGAGCAACTGACATAATCTGTCTGGACTTGTGCAAAGCATTTGACACTGTCCCACATGACATCCTTGTCTCTAGATTGGAGAGACATGGATTTGACGGATGGACTGCTTGGTGCATAGGGAATTGGGTGGATGGTCGCACTCAGAGTTGTGGTCAACGATTTGATGTCCCAGTGGAGACTAGTGACGAGTGGTGTTCCTTAGGGGTCAGTACTGGGACCAGTGTTGTTTAACGTCTTTGTTGGAGACATGGACAGTGGGATCTCCATGACAGTGGGAAGGTGTCCCTGCCCATGGCAGGGGGGTTGGAACTCGATGATCTTTAAGGTCCCTTCCAACCCAAACTATTCTATGATTTTTCTTAATAATGTAACTTTTTAGTTGAAAACTTACTGTTACACCTACTAGAAATATGTAACTTCATTCTCATGTCTTTCCTTAGGTAATGGTGATCATGTGTTGTGTTTCCACTGTGGTGGAGGATTGCAAGAGTGGAAGGAAAATGAAGACCCATGGGATCAACATGCCAAATGGTTTCCTGGGTAAGAGACTTCTTACTGTTTTCTTTTTGCATATCTGAGTCAGTATATTATGTTTTAATGACAGAGCATACTAATAACGGTTTCAGAAAGTAGACTATGACTTAACATTGTTTAGATTTATGAAAATAATATTTTTTTTTTCTATTGCCCTCCTCCACTTCCTTCTCCTTCATTTTTGTCATGTAGGCACCAAAGGAATGTCAGGTTTTTTCCAGAGTTTGTTTTTTCTTTTAAATAAGCAGAGAGATTTTAAGGAATCTTTTGCACGGGGTTCCTATTTTTGTTGTTCCATCTGTTCTACCTTCTGTAGTCCTGCTGTTATATGTATAATCATCAACATGTGCTTTAATGTTATGTTAGAGGCCTCAAAAGAGGACATGAACCTCATGTTGTCTTTGAGAGGTAGGAGGGAGTTCTAAAGTGTGTGGGAAAGAGAACCAAATCCTCGAGAGGCTGAGGCCACAACTGACTCATTAGAGGTGGTAAGTCTGAAAGGTTGCCCTGAAATTATACCATCTGAATAACCTTACTTTTAAGTAAGTGGTGTTTGTCAGATTGTTTGTAGGAATTATTAAAGAGAAGAGAAGATTTCTGTGTCTGGATTTAACTGATGTCTCAGCTAGCAGAATCATGAAGTTTTGTTAATATGTATCTGATTTTTTTCCTCATTATCCAAGCACTACCTTCTAATTGTTATTTTAATAGCTTTATAGGTGCCAAAGTTTGTACCTTATGTCAGGATACAAAGTAACTAAACTTCTGTAACGGTGCAAACAAACTTGAAGTCAGTATAGCAGTACTGAATTCAAAACATACTTCTGCATAATTTTGAAGGATTGAGGATTCCAGACCGAGTCGTTTTTAGAAAGACTGCCAATTTTGTCTGAAATCTGTCTTGAGAAAAGGAGTAGTATATGACTCACTGTTTCTTACAAGTGCTGTAAGAAAGCTTACAAGCTGTCCAAGTACAATGACTTAGTTACTTGTATAACATTGATGAAAAATGTGTTAGCTGCCAAATTTGTCTTCTCTGGTGAAAGGCGCTCTGGAAGCTGGAAGTTAGTGTTTATGCATTAGCTGATCCTTTTTTCAGTAGAGGTACAGGAAGACTTTAAATTATTAGTCTCTGCCACTTGAAAGACATGCCATTCCAAGTTTTTGGCTTGGTACAGTGAATGGTTAAGACACGTTTTCTTGTTACATTTCACTCCTTATATGGGTTTGATTTGATTTTAAGTTGCTTAAATTATGTCAGATTTGACTACTTCCCCTCAGATCATTAACTGTCTTACCTGGAGTTCTTGTTTGCACATCAGCTTCAGTGGCAGTGTGTCAGTTTGGGAGCGTGCTGTGTCTATGACCTGCTGAAGGTGAAGTAACTGCTGAAGCTGGAGAACTATTGTCAAGGAGTTATGGCATTCCCTAAATCTTCTGGTGGGGAGAGCTCTGCCCTCCCAGTGGCTGGGACTGGTTGGAAAATAGTGAAAGCAAGCACATAAGGCCCCTGTCTGACCAGTGACTGCTTTGCTTTGATTGCAAAAGACTAAAAGAGCCAACATTTTACGTAATGTTTGTTTTTAATTGGAGTCTTTACTTTTATAAATCTATGGGCATCAGCTGTCATGGCCAACAACTCTTAGGTTTCTATTTCTCCAAAAATGTGAAAAAGATAAGTACTGCTGAAGTGATAAGGATGTTTTAAGAAATGTTTAAGTGACATCACTGATGTTGGCTAAATATTTAGAGATTTCAACAGCAAGCATTCTGAATGATGTCGGAAATGTATGGAAGCTTTGCAAATTTATATAGTCAATTTTTATTTGGTGCTTATGCAGTTTTATTATAACTAAATATTTTCATTTATAGGTGCAGATTTGTGAGCAAGGAAAAGGGGATAGAATTTATAAATAATGTTCACTTAAGAGATGGATGTAGGGATTCAACAGTAAGTGTCTTGCTTATTAATCAAATATCATTTTGTTAAAATAGAGAACAAGCTTAACATAACTTTCATATAATTCAGTCCCCCTGCTGCTTCTTTCATTGGCAGAAAGTGAAAGACATCAAAGTTTGTCTTGGTTCTGTCACTCAGGGTGTATGGATCTTCCAGTCCTCCTTAGTTAGGTTCTGGATCACAAGTAGGGTACTGTGTATCTGTTGTATACTTGGTACTGAACAAGTGCTATTTTTTTTATAGCCTGGGAACCTAAAGTTTATGATGAATAATTTCCTTATTCAAGTGTAGCAGATGATTTTTCTTTTCTTGTTGGTAGAGCATTGTTGAACTTGTATGCAGTCACTAAATAGTAAACCCAATGTTATTTTGGAATTCTTCAATAGACTGTACATACTATTATAGCAAAGATGGTTTAAAATGAAAATTTAAAACAATATGAAAGACATAACAAAACACTGATCCCTTTGCAGTTGTTCAGAATAGATTTAATAGCTTTAGTCAATAAAAATAGCTGAGATCAAACAGCTATTTTCTGTCTTATAATTGTGGAGGTTTCCTTCTACCTTCTCCAGAATTGTAATTTTGTCTGTTTATATTTCATTTTTAGGCAGAAGCTGCTGAAGGGACAATACTTCCTAAAGGTATCTGTATAGGAAAAAAAATTAAAATAAACAGCTCTCTTATTTTAGAATATCCATATTTGCATATATAGTAAACAAAATGGTTAATTTTTAAAGTAACCCTATTAGATTTTTAGATAGAGCATGACGGGGAAATTGGTGGATGATACTCTTCCATTGCTTCATTGCTTCTAAAGAATTGCAAAATGAATTTTATTTGTCTTTGGGGAAATCTAATCATGGTTGGATAAATATTGTAAAGATTGTAAAGCATGAAAGGAATAAATACAGGATGCAGTCTTATTTTTATAGCTAGTAAGTATGCATCAAGTATTGACTTAGTAGTGATGTGGGATGAATGTTAAAGAATACTGAAATGAAACAATCATTGCTGCCTTTCACGAGGCAGGAAGAGTTGGTCTGTTTAATAGCAAAGACTAGAAAGCTGAGAAAGCTGAAATAGCTTGTTATGTGTTCCAGCATTACACATTCCTGCAATGTTTTTCACAATTGCCAAGTAATAAAGAGACAAGACACTTAAAGGGGTAGTGGGAAGACAGTCAAGCAGCTTCATCCCAGGGAATGACAGCTGTTGCTAATAAGAGTGGTTATACAAAACCCATTTTAAAAATCTCTCACACACTGCTGATTTATGAGAGTGAAAATCTGGTTAAAAATTTTGCTCTTTGAACAATCTTGTTAATTAAAGAAGAAATTACTAATTTATATGTAATAGAAGAACTGGAAATAAGAAACACCACTACCAAATCTATTCAAAAAATTACATGGAAAAGAGGAAGGAGAAGGTCCAACAGACTGAAAAATGGTTTCCCAAAGTAGTGTTATGTGTTATCGTGGATAAGCTTACTTGCTTGCTGATTGTGTAGTGTTTTGGTTTTGTGAATTCAAATTATTTCTTGGTTTTTATCAATACATGTATGTTTTTTTTTCTTCCCTGAACTGAATTAAAATTAATGTAGTGTTACCAAATACGTTATCTACTGTGCCTTGGAATTTTAGATGAATATCAATTAACGCTCAGCTATAGAATTTGTGTTGTTAATTATATGAGACATTTAAGAAGTTGAAGTACTTGATTTGAATAGCAAATCTAGGAGGATTTCTGTGTTATAAATAGATGAAGGGAGTCTGGGAAAGTTAGGATGAAAGACGTCTCACATCTGCAGATTTGGGTGTTTTGACAATGCAGTTTTTACAACTAGAAAAATTCTCAAATTGGAAATACAGTTCCAGATGAGATGTTTAGCTAGATATTTGGCTAAATATTTGCAAAGGTGTCTTAGAGTATTATAGTGAATACTGTCCAGTAATTAGCTTCATCCTTGATAAATTGTTGTTTGTTTGTTTTTAATTTCTTGTTTTAGATTATCTCTTACAGAATCCTTTGGTACAAAGTGCCATAGACATGGGTTTCAGTTTGTCTGAGATTAGGAACACCATGGAAAAGAAATTGCAGATGTCTGGAGAAAGTCACACATCTGTTGAGGATCTGGTAGCAGACTTAAGTGCTCAAAAAGAAAATACAAGGGAAGAAGAACGAAATGAAATCTCAGTTGAGGAAGATGAGCGTATTCAGTTACAAAACCTCTGTGTGTACTTCCATATCAGCTCTTTAGTCTATGAAATATCTCTTATGGTTATCTGTTTATTCTGCCCTCAGATCCAAGTCTTACTTAAGGTGAAGTTACAGTATTGTAACTTAAAGAGACTTCTCTTTGGACATGAAAAAAAAAACCAACCCCTCAGGAGACTTCTAGTTTAAGACAAGTATATGAATGAACCCATAGGGAGGGAAAAGACCATCTGGTTGGCATGATAGGCAGAGATCTTACCAGCCCACTCTTTTTAATAAGATTTTTAATGGACATCATGGGAACAAAAAGAACTTGCAATGAAGATGGACATTATTTTTGTGGTTGGCTGTGCAGAGCTTTCCCCAAGCGGCAGGAGAAGGCTTTAGAAGTTTGCATTTTCAGATGGGGCATACTGGAATAATAAAGAGCTCATGTACAATGCAAAATTGATTCTTTCTGTATTACAATTTCTTAAGCTTTTGAAGTATGGACATTTTGAAAATGGGGGTAGGGAAGGAAATCACATCCTCATTCTTTTCCTTGGGGAAACACTCTGTAAAAAAAAAAAATCCAAATTACTTAACCAGTATCAACGAGCTTTTCCCTCACCTTCTGTACAAGTTTTGGGAAAGTTGTTGATGGGCAGTCTGTGAAAAGAAGGGTTCCTGACTGAAGTAAGCATATCCTAAATTCTGCAGATATTCAAGCTCTTGAGAATATAGATAGCTGCATTCCCTGCGTGTATTGGCCTGGGAGATGTAATGAGATGAGAGGGGGGGTGAGGGTGGGAAAGAGGATTCCATGCTGCAGCTTGGTTTCCTATCCCTTGTAATTTTTTTTTCTTTTTAAAGGTGTGACCTTTAAATCATATGAAGAAAACCTTGTCCTTGTGTATAAAGAAAAAAAAAAAAAGAGAGAGATATTCAATGGTACTAAGTATGTTAACTTCTTTTTATGTGTTTTTTTTTCCTTAGATCTCAGTACTGAAGAGAAGTTAAGACGCTTGCAGGAAGAAAAACTTTGTAAAATCTGTATGGCTAAAGACATATCAGTAGTCCTCATTCCCTGTGGTCACCTAGTTGCCTGTAAGGAATGTGCTGAAGCACTTGAAAAATGCCCTCTGTGTCGTACAAATATTATGAAAAAACAGGAAATTTTTATGTATTAGTGAAGAATACAGTACTGTGGATGCAAATGTTTCCTGCTTTAAATATGTATCATGTAATGTAAAAAAATACAGTTAATTCTAGGATGTAATCATATGGCCGTATTTAGATTTTTCTGCTGTCAAACTCTACATACATTTTAAAAATTATTTCCCTTAAGTGAATTTTTTGTATGTAAAAACCAATAATGAAAGGCAAATATATGCATTCTGTAACTTCAATTCATAGACCTGATTTGGGAAAGCCTAAGTCATGCAAAGCTTTATTTATGTGATCATTCCTTAGCTTCTCTTTGGTAGGACTCTGTGTGACTGAAGTTTATGCAAATACAGTTGTATAGAGAGTCCATCCTATCTAAAAATTTGTAAATAAGCGAATGTAATAAATTATTATATACATGTATACATATCTGAGTTTTAGCTTCTCAAAAATATTATGTAAGATGAAAAATGTCTTATTTCTGTTCCTTTGGTTGTGACATAATTCAGAGAATGTGCGTAAACCTGCTGCTGCAATATTTTACCTTATGTTTCCTATTGCTACTCTGTAAGTTTGTCTGTTTTGATATATAATTCCTGTCTCCCTATTTATTTTTTATGGTTTAGATGTATAAATTTGCTCAGTAAACTGGTTTTAGCCATCATTTTTCACAAAAATCCCTCTGTATATAAAATGTGCAATAATTTCCTTCCTTAAGAGAGAAATCAACAGAAATGAAGGAGATTTTACATACCTTGTGCCCTTCATTAAAGGAGCAGTCTAATTTTAAAATTGGCCCCCTACGCAAAAAGGTGTTCATTGATTTTTTTTTTTTTTTTTTTTTTTTTTCCCCTTGGGATTTTTTTTAACATTTAGCATTATCCTACTCATTTATCTGCTAAGACTTTGCAGTGTTTCTGTTTGTCTCTTTTTTCATAACAGAAGATTAAACTCTGTCTCCACGAAAATGCCTTAATTTTTTTAATTCACAAGTAATGTTAGAAATCTTTCATTTTTGTTCTTGTCAGTTTGCAGTACTTAAAATAAAAAGCTAAGGTGACCCTCAGTAGAATAGTTCTTAAACTACTTGAGAAACTATTTCTTACTGGACTGATCCTCAGTTTTCCAGTTAAAAAGTATCATAGCTTTGTATTTAAGTACAGCTGGTTTACGATCACTTTACTTAATTATGTGACTTCCTTATTTTGTGGAGCTACTAGTATGTACATATTTTTATCTTTGAGTCCAACACACTAATAGATGTAGAATATAGAATATACAGAATATAGTTTTTCATGTGATAAAAGTTTTAAATTCAATACACAGAAATTTAATGTCTACTTTTTCTATTTTTTTAAATATGTGATGTGATTATATGCTGCTGTAATGTTATGAATATTTAAAATAAACTGCAACCCAGTTGTTCCTTGATCAGCACATTTGATTCTCACATGAGAAAAAAAAAAAATCAGAAGGTTACTTTCTGTTGCTTTTTCATTTTGAATTTCAACTGTTACTAATTTAACCTGAATGTTATTAAGGATAACAAATATATTTTAATTGGAGAGGAATTTAAATCTATTGTTTGTATAAATTAAAGTTCATTAATTATAAAATTAAAATATGTTAATTTGGCTGGTTTTTGTAATAAATTAGAATTTGGTTCTTAGGAATGCATGATGACTAAAAATTCATAAAGAATTCATCACAGAAGGTTTTTATTTTTGCCTTTTCGTGCCTGTGTGAAGGGTTTAGTGCTTGAGATAATTCATGCATACGGGGATTTTTCAGGACAGATACGGACTGGCAATTCCAGCAGGCTTGTTTCTAGCTCCGTTTTCACTTACAGGGAGGTGTTTCTGTACTTTTCAAGGGAAATTAAAGGGGGGGTGTGTTTGCCTATGAGCTGGTGTATCTTGCCTGAAATAGCTCGTTCAGTTAATGTGGCAAGCCATGGTATGGTGACTTGCTCAAGCAGATGGTTTGTTACCTAACCTTGACCTAAGTCATGTGAGAGACACTATCTGCATGAGCTGGATCCAACTCGCAGCCTGCAGAACTTGGCATGCAGCTCAACAAAGCCCTGTCTGGGAGAGAGATTGACTAAATTTTTCTTAGAGCTATTACAAAACTAAATCCTAGTAAGGAGGTGATTTTGGATGTAAATATAGTATGTAAACTGTCCAGGAAAAGCCTGGAAGTAGGTCACAAACAGTAGCTGCTAACCTGAAATGGAGAGCAGACAGTGTCCAGATAATATGCAAGCAAAGAGCATAAATGTTTCATGTGAAAGCTTTTATTTTTATTTTTATGCTCACGTTAACTTTTAAAAGGTAGACGGTATCCCTTATTGTAACTTTTTGGTAAATGTTACAAAAGATATAGCCATAACAGCAATTCAAATTTTAATCACTTGGGAACATTAAAGGGTTAAAAGCCTGTTAGTGAGATGACTAACTGCTCTGTGAGTTTAGGTTTTTTAAAAAGCTGTATAATCAGAGTTCTAATCAGACTAAATGTGAAAAAATAATTAGCATAGTCATCAAATTTTGACAGCTTGAATTAGGAAGGTGTTTTTTCACATTACTTTGATTTTCAGTATCTTAAAGAAACAGAAGAAACTCCACATGGACACTGATACTGGGCTGAGTGTTTAAAGACGTGGAAATGAAGGATGCAAATAAAGCCAGTAGAAGCACAGGTGCTTTGAAAAGGAGGTTGGTAGCAGGGCACAGATGCCTTGGGAGTTGAAGGGGTTTTAACAATGTGTTCTGGAATTGTTTTGTTTGGAAGACATGGGAATTGCATGCCTAGTTTAGGAACAGAAGGCTAAAATAAGGAAAACCTATTGACTCAATATTTTGGTTACACATTTAGCTTTTTCTCACTGCTTTGAAACATGGGGCTTGAAACATAATATTCACTCTACTGGTTGCTACAGTGCTTAGCTGGCTGTACTTTTAAGAATTTGGTTTGGGGCTCGATACAAAGCTCATAGTACAATAAAAAGATTTTTCAATTCTTATAATTTTTTTTTAATTAGAGTATTTAAAAACTTATTTTAATATTGCCTGGTTAGTTTTGACTGCAATGCTCAAATGTTTATTTTTGTGAGTTAGGTGTGGAGCCTGAAGCTACAGGACAAGTAGTTTGTCAAAGTTTTCAAAGCATTTTTGTTAACCTAAGACATGGGGTTTGAAGTTAGCTTTTATGTTTGTTTTTGTTAAAATTAACAAAAATTTAAATACAATGGGTTGTTAGAATTGAATGATAACTGGGTGGGAGGCTAATGCCGACGCTTGATTACTATATTCATGTGAAATCTCAAGCCCAAATGTTGTACTCTAGGTTTAAATGTTACAAGGGGTGATGACATTTGCTGGTCTAACCCCAGCCAGCACCAAGCCCCACACAGCTGCTCACCCGCACCCCTCCCAGAAGAACAACAGCAAGAAAACTCATGGGTTGAGATAAAAATGGTTTAATAGGACAGCAAAAGAAGAAATAATAGGAGAATATACAAGTGCCATTGCTCACCACCCCCTGGCTGCCACCCTGCCCGTCCCCAGCAGCAATTGCTGGCTCCCGGCCACCTCCCCAGAGTATGATTATGTGCTGAGCACAACGTCGTGTGGTCGGGAACATCCCTGTGGCCAGGTGGGGTCAGCTGTCCCGGCCGGTCTCCCGCCCAGCTTCTTGTGCACTTCTTCATGGGCAGAGCACAGGGAGCTGGAGGGTCCTTGGGTTAGTGCGAGCACTGGGGTGTTTTTTCACAGCAGTAAGTATGCGAACAGCGAGTTCTTACACAGGGTTCTTTTTTACCCTCTGCTTTTGCACAATTGACGCCTATCAGCAGGGAAGCTAGGTGC